TATGGCTACAGAGCCTGGAAAATTCGCAGCAACCTAACATCCACAACCAAAGAAGACTTCAAAACAGACTCCACAAGTGGACTGTACACAATCAGAGAGACTTCTACACTATAATGGCTAATAAGTTTCCATGTTTGGCCAGTATACAAAATTTGGGTGAACAGCGAACAATAGCAATTCTTTTTGTATTACAAATATTTTGTTTTAAAAAGTATCCCAGTCTGAGGTGGCTAATGGGTCTCACACTAGTGTTGCTGTGAATGACCTCAAATTTTAGTCAAATTTTTAATCAAGATGAAGCTATTTTGAAGATAGGGTTTTCAACATTTTGGAAAGTTTATCTGAAGCTCAGATGAAAACCCAGGGTGAATTAATCACAACATCGACATGGAAGCCACCAGGCCTTCACCAGCAAACAATAGAGATGTATAAACTTCTGAAACTGTACTATTGTTCTTTGGTTTCTACGCCAATACAAATTGCAGAGGTGTAGGTTTTAACCTATAATGTTCGGTACACTGTGACTGTTGTATGACTCAGGGGCTTCTCATCAGTCGAGTCCTCTGAAATTCCCTGATGAAAGTCCAGCTATTTACTTTCGAAAATGTTGCAGGGCCTTAACAATAGTGGGCCCTTCATTGTACAACACAATTTCAAATGATACCTGTCTGCTCTAGTCAAGTGTTTGAGTCAACTGCGCTAAAACTTTTTTAGACAAAGGCAAACTAGTATTGTTGGAATCAGTAAACAAACCCAATAAGCACACAGTGCTCTGGAAAAAGTCAAAGACATAAAGATTGTAACAGTAACCACTACTGCCTTTAGGTAAGTGTTTCACCTTATATTATCCTTTATCCCCAATTTTTGTCATCTGGCACTTGCACTTTATCTATCAGCCCTTCCTCACAACTGATTGTATGGACCCCCAACCCAAGCCCGGAACTGAATTACTATTTCAGGCTACTGGTTGTCTGATGGTTGTTTTTATATTGTGTTATACCGTTGTTGTTTTATTTTGCTTGTGGCTGTTTTATGAATTTTTAATGTGTTATATTTTAACTATGTTGATTGGGCTTGTCCACATGTAAGCCGCCCCGAGTCCCTTCGGGGAGATGGAGGCGGGGTACAAAAATAAAATTATTATTGTTGTTGTTATTATTATTATTATTATTATTATTATTATTATTATTATTATTTTACTGACACAGTGTGTCACAGCAAATGAGATATATATGCTGGATTTCGTATCACAAAATCACAAGTTGAACACTTCCCAAGCGTTTAGGACTGTGTGATATATTTTTGAATGATACACGCAGATCCAAGTAAGGTGGCCTTTTGCAGTTGACAGATTATTGCTATTATTATTATTATTATTATTATTATTATTTCTAATAATTTTCTGTAGACCTCTGGTTAATAATGCTCTGGGAAGGTGGGCTACTTTAGGGACTAAGGAAAGGAGGTTAACTTGCATGGAGGTATTAAGGCACTACGTATGACCTGTTCAACGGAGGCCCCTTTCACACAGCTGTATAAAATCCACATTGAACTGGGTTACATGGCACTGTGGACTCAGATAATCCAGTTCAAAGCAGATATTGGGAATTATCTGCCTTGAGTTATATGGTTGTGTGGAAGGACCCTGAGATACCATATTTCACTCCAGAAAATCAGTGGTACGTTTGCATAGCCATTCACTTGTCATGCATAATACACCAATGCATTATCGAAATGTTGAAATGAGGCTGGAAATTTCAGCATTATGATCTAAATGTAAGAGTTGTTGTTTCTGATTCATACCTTCAAGTCAACTCCTATTGATGGTGATAAAATGCTAGATTTTCCTTGGCAAGAATAATTTGGAAGGGGTTTGCCATTGCCTTCTTCTAACATTGAAAGAATGTAACTTGCTCAAGGTCAGCCAGCAGGGTTTCAGACCTGAGAAGGGATTTGAACCCTGGTTTCCTAGGGCCCTTCCACACAGCCCTATATTCCAGAATATCAAGGCAGAAAATCCTACAGTCAGATAATATGGGATTTTCTGTGGAGGCCGTGACAGACTTTGTATTTCTAGGTGCAAAGATTACTGCAGATGCAAACTGTAGCCAGGAAATCAGAAGACGCTTACTTCTTGGGAGGAGAGCAATGTCCAATCTCGATAAAATAGTAAAGAGTAGAGACATCAGACTGGCAACAAAGATCCGCCTAGTCAAAGCCATGGTATTCCCTGTAGTAACCTACGGATGTGAGAGCTGGACCTTAGGGAAGGCTGAGCGAAGGAAGAGAGATGCTTTTGAGCTGTGGTGCTGGAGGAGAGTTCTGAGAGTGCCTTGGACTGCGAGAAGATCCAACCAGTCCATCCTCCAGGAAATAAAGCCCGGCTGCTCATTGGAGGGAAGGATACTAGAGACAAAGTTGAAGTACTTTGGCCACATCATGAGGAGACAGCAAAGCCTGGAGAAGACAATTATGCTGGGGAAAGTGGAAGGCAAAAGGAAGAGGGGCCGACCAAGGGCAAGATGGATGGATGGCATCCTTGAAGTGACTGGACTGACCTTGAAGGAGCTGGGGGTGGTGACGACAGGGAGCTCTGGCGTGGGCTGGTCCATGAGGTCACGAACAGTTGGAGTCAACTGAACGAATGAACAACAACAGGGCTGTTTGGAAGGGCCCCTAGAGTCCTTGTCCAACATTCACCTTGCTAGATCAAGTTGGCTTAGGGCTCTTCCACACAGCCCTATATCCCAGAATATCAAGGCAGAAAAAGCCAGCTTACCAGCTGTTAGGAATTGTGGGAGCTGAGAGCCCTTCCACACATCCCTATATCCCAGAATATCAAGGCAGAAAATCCCACATTATCTGAGTGTGGACTCGGATAACCAAGCTCAAAGCAGATATTGTGGGATTTTCTACCTTGATATTCTGGGTTTTATGGCTGTGTGGAAGGGCCCTTAGATGCAAGATACCTGGGTTCTGATCCTCACTCAGACATGACTGAGGAAGTCATTCTTTTAACCTAATCTGCCTTCCAGGACTGTTGTGAAAAAAATAATACACAAATTGAAACTGCTTTGGAAAGGATCATTAGGATGTTAATAATGCGTACTCTCAAATTTTACAGGAGTGTTTAATGCAGCATGGAAGCCAGATGTGACACATGGTCAGCACACAACTAGCAATACAAAGACAAACAGAATGCAACAAATCTTAAGGATGAATTGGGCTCTTCAATAAAGCATCTACACCAGGTATGGGCAAACATTGGTCCTCCAGGTATTTTGGACTTCAACTCCCACAATTCCTAACAGCCTCAGGCCCTTTCCTTTTGCCCCTCAGCCGCTTAAGAGGCTGAGGGGCAAAAGGAAGGGGTCTGAGGCTGTTAGGAATTGTGGGAGTTGAAGTCCAAACTACCTGGAGGACCAATGTTTGCCCATGCCTGATCTACACACATCCACACTAGACTAATCAAAGTGAGGGATAACATACAATTCCAAGTGTAACTACATGCTCCAAACTTCAGCATGCAATGATACACACAATCTAGCACACAACATTAGGTAAAAGCCCAGGTTTGTGTGCAGTGATAAACAATGCAAACTTGAGCAAGGGAACCCACATCATCAAATCACAATGGGTCACATTCATGTATTTCTTTGATGCAAAGTACATGAGCGTACTTTGAGTGAGTGAAATTTTTACTAGGATGTATAATCATAGCATCATAGAGTTGGAAGAGACCTCGTGGGCCATCCAGTCCAACCCCCTGCCAAGCATCCTAATGATCCTTACCGAAGCAGTTTCAATTTGTGTATTTTTTTTCACAACAGTTCTGGAAGGCAGATTAGGTTAAAAGAATGACTTCCCCAGTCATGGCTGAGTGAGGATTGCATTCAGAGCCTCCCCAATCCAGGCTCTGTCTAAAAGCCTCCAAAGAAGGAGCCTCCACCACATCGATAATCATGGATAAGTATACATAAAAACAGGTAAACACAACCAGAATCTATATAAATAAATATGTAATGTTCGTTTTTGGGATTAACATAACTCAAAAAGCACTGGACGAATTGACACCAAATTTGGATACAATACACCTATCAGACCAACAAGTGACCATCACTCATAAAAACACTGAAAAACACAGCTGAAGGGACTTTAAAAGTCAAAAAAAGCAAAAAGATGCTATATCCCATGTGCAAAAAACTCCCCCGGCAAACAAAATACACAATAGCATATCCACACTCTCTTCCGGACTACAGCTCCCAGCATCCCCTAGACCAGGCCCTTTAGGAGAGGAGGATGATCCAAATGCACTGCTTCCAAGCTGCAAGCTTTCTTCTCCTTGGATTTCTTTGAGAGCATCCCAATCCCTGCATATTTCCAATTTCCTATTCCTGGACTGCAACTCCCAGCAATCCTCCAGATAGATAGATTAGAGATAGATGGGTAGGTAGGTAGATCGATCAGGAGGGCTGCTGGGAGTTGCAGTTCAAGAATAGGAAGAGAAAGGAAGAAAGGGAGAAAGGAAGGAAGGGAGAGAAAGGAGGAAGAAGGAAGGAAAGAAGAAGAAGAAGAAAGAAAGAAGGAAGGAGAGAAGGAAAGAAAGCATGAAGGAAGGAAGGAAGAAAAGAAGGAAGGAATTAAGGAAGAAAGGAAGGGAGTAAAGAAAGTAAGAGAGAAGGAAGGAGAGAAGGAAGGAAGGGGGTAAGGAAAGAAGGACAGAAAAGGAAAGAAAGAAAGAAAGAAAGAAAGAAAGAGCGAAGGAAGGAAGAGAAAGAAAGAAGAGAAAGAGGGATGGAAAGTTGGCCACAGCAATGCGTGGCGGGTACAGCTATTATCTTGTAAAATGATAACTTTGGGGTTGGGGTTAGGGGCTGGAGCTCTGAAGAGCAAACGCTAACCACTGAACATCATGTTCACAAGAACACTTGAGTGACACCTCATTGTGTGCATGGAAACACATACACTCTGGATATAGCTTGAGAGATAGATCTGTACCACACACCGCTACCCATTCCAGGATGCTGTGGTGACCCAATGCAGAGAGAGAACGAGAGATACACACACACATAATGCCTAACAACGCTCTGGCATCACACAGCCCACCCCACCCCTCCTTCCCTACATACACACATCCCAACCCCATATGCCTCTCCGTTCCTTTAACCAGCCTCTTTCGTTTGCTGCTGCTTCCTTTTTTTCTCTCCTTCCTCCAATGGTTTCTCCCAATGACATAATAACAGCATGCTAGCATCTCTCTCCTATACAGCAAAATACCCCTCGATATAAAACGCCATTTCGCAGAATCTTCTCTGGCTGGTGCCATCAACAACCCACTGCCGGGTGGGGGGACAGCGAGAGAAGCCGTCTCTCACCTCCCCCAGTGTGTGACACCTTTGGGAAAGCAGACCTTTTTGGTAGTAGTTGTTGTTATTGCTTTAAGGTAAGCCTGCTATCTCTCTCTCTCTCTCTCTCTCTCTCTCATGCTGCAAAAGATGTATGTGCAAGGCACTGGGGGCAATGTATTGGAGCAATGTGTGGTGTGTGTTGGGGGGGACTTGCCTGTGATTTATAAGAGAAGGTTTTTATAACTGTGTCAGGATTCACTATCTCAGGCACTAATAAATCCAACATACTAGATTTGCTAGAACGAATTCCTGCTTGCAGGTACTGCTTTTTTCTCCTTCGTTCAGGTGGCGATGGTGATGGTGACCACCTCCAAACTGTCTTTGCTAAAGCCTGTATGCAACAGATCTATTAGCATACATATTTATATCCCTTCATATGGATTTCCTCTCCTCCTTCTTCTTGTTCTGAATATATGTGGAATTCCCATTACCTTTAATGCTTTGCACACATGTTTGTATATGTATGGAGTCAGGGAGTATGGGGAGAGAAGACATTGATGGTGGATTAAATTAAATTGCATGCTGCTGGCCAGGTTTCTACATTGGTTTTGCTTCCCCCCAACCTTTCTCTCTTTTTTCTCATGGGGACTTTTTTGGGAACCCAGGGGGATAAAAATGACTCTCAGATTAGGAATGGCAGCATGGGTTGAGAAGACTTGTGGGGGTTCAGGGCTGGAGGAAATCTTCAACGATGCTGCAGGGGTTTTGGCCTGACTGAAGAGAACTGCTGGTTGGAGCAGCTGTTGAATGAATGAGGAATTCAGCAGGAAGGGAGGGAAGCAATCAAGCACAGGAGGGGAGATGCCCGAATGTGAGATTGAACTAGGCATGGAACTGCCAGTTGGATGCCCGTTCCACCTGGTATTTTGTGTCCTGACAAAGAGAGATGTGCCTTAGTCCAGAAATGGGGGATCACAGCTCCCTCCACTTTTATAAAGAGTTTGGCAGCCAAAGTTAAGGCCCCATTCCACAAAAGAGTAATGCACCCAACAAGTTGTTTTGGCTTCCAAGGTTCAGACTCATCCCTGTCTGTCATTGACAGATTTTTCTTAGAAAAAACTAATAAAATGTTGGGAGAATGGGGTAGGACTGCACCTGGAAGTACCTGGAAGGGCAGCCGTTTGCAAAAGGTAAATGAGGAATCATTCCTTGTTTCTGATTCCTATAGGAAAGGAATGAAGACTGCTGTTGTAGATCAGGGATTCTTGGATTTTATAGAAAGGCAATCGAGCAATGTTTCTCAACCTTGGGGTCGGGGTCACAAGGGGGTGTCAGAGGGGTCACCAAAGACTATCAGAAAACACAGTATTTTCTGTTGGTCATGGGGTTCTGTGTGAGAAGTTTGGCTCAATTCTATCGGTGGAGGAGTTCAGAATGCTTTTTGATTGTAGGTGAACTATAAATCCCAGCAACTACAACTCCCAATTTCAAGGACTATTTTCCTCAAAGTCCATCAGTCTTCACATTTGGGTATATTGATGATTCATGCCAAGTTTGGTACAGATCCATCATTGTCTGAGTCCACAGTGCTCTCTGGATGTAGATGAACTACAACTCCAAAACTTAAGGTCAATGCCCACCAAACCCTTCCAGTATTTTTTGTTGGTCATGGGAGTTCTGTGTGCCAAGTTTGGTTCAATTCCCTCGTGGTGAAGCTCAGAATGCTCTTTGATTGTAGGTGAACTATAAATCCTAGCAACTACAACTCCCAAATGACAAAATCAATCTGCCACCAATCCCACCAATATTCAAATTTGGGTGTATTGGGTATTTGTGCCAAGTTTAGTCCAATGAATGAAGATACATCCTGCATATCAGATATTAAAATTACAGCTATGAAGTAGCAATGAAATTAATGTTATGGTTGGGGATCACCACAACATGAGGAACTGTATTAAGGGGTCATGACATTAGGAAGATTGAGAACCACTGACATAGACCCTAATGGTTTCTAACAGAGGGCCAGCAGGTTCTCTTGAAAAGAACAGCAATATGCAGGTTTTAGTCATGTAAAACTAAGGGCCAAACATCCCGGGTCTCCTGTCGTGTGAACTGCAGGACTTCTGCGTTCTATTGGGATGCTTTATCATCCAGTCCCAGAAGGCCACAGATTGAGACACAACTGATTGAGATGGGTTTCAATCCTTAATACTTTACAGATCCTCTATTCAAATAGGCACTCATGAATTGCTTTTGACTGCAGCATGTACGTCTGTCTGCTGATGCAATTGACACTAGAAAGTGGACGGGAAAGAGAAGGAAAAGAGCATGGGGTACCCTGTAAGATCTTTCCATTGGAAACCTGTAATACAAAGACCTGTAATACAAGGACCTGCATTGTATATACTTAAAAGTGGTCTCAAAATGAGGTTGGAGGAGTCTGGAAGGGGGTTTGTGAGTCCAAAATTCTATTTCGACGTCTTGGTTCTTGTTGTGATTACAGTACTGATTTTACTCAGTGATTATCTTTTGGTCTGATTTGTCTGTATGCAGGAATATGTAAAAATTGTAATTTTCAGTTAAGAAAGGTATTTGAATTAATACCTGTAGTATGGAGACCTGCATTGTGTATACTTATAGATCAGGCATGGGCAAACTTTGGCCCTCCATGTGATTTGGACTTCAACTCCCAAAATTCCTAACAGCCTACCGGCTGTTAGGAATTGTGGGAGTTGAAGTCCAAAACACCTGGAGGGCCAAAGTTTGCCCATGCCTGTTAGAGATGACCTCTAAAATGGATTAAGGAAATCTGTGGGTTTCTTTTTTTTGTCCAAAATCCTAGTTCAGTGACTTGGTTCTTGTGATTACAGCATTAATTTTACTCCTGAGATTGGCTGTGTATAGGAATATGTAAAAATTATAATACGTCAGCAAATTATATTGTTATTGTTGTTAATGGTGATGTTGATGGTAGCTGGACACAGGGTAAAGGAAACACAGACAGCAAACAGATCTCAGTTAAGTGTCCATTAGGACAAGACGGGATAATAAGGTCAATCAACTCTGTCCATGACTCACATACCCTCACATACCCTCAAGTTAAATACATTCTATCACCCCATCTACTAATTAATAACTCTACATGCACCTTTTTAGGTAAACACATTCCTTATTTTCCCTCTGTGGATCTCCCTTTCCTAATCACGGTATCCATTCATTTTTTCCTATCTGTCCAGCCACTGTAAAACCAACACTTCATTCATTCATAAAGCCTCAGCTATCTATTTACCTACCTACCTTTTGCTTCTCCACAGAGTCTAATTCTTCCTTCGATTGCATCCGCTCTTTCATTGATGTGCAAATCTCCATCTGTCCTCCACTTTTCTCCTGTCTCCGTGGTTCACATCCAGATGTGAGCGGCTCATTCATTTAGCTTTTTCTTTTCCCAAGCAAAGTTTTCACTTATCAAACAAAATGGCTGAGCGGATTGTATGAAACAGCTGAAAAGAAATAAACAAAAACTGTCTAAAGGGAAATTCAGACTGGTCATAAAATGTAATTTTACCAGTTGATATTAGGTACGGTAAGTGAAACTACTGATCGCAAAGAAAAGATATAGATTTGTTATGAACCCTGTTAGGCCCTTTCCACACAGTTATATAAAAACACACATTATTTGCTTTGAACTGGGTTATGTGGTAGTGTGGACTCACATAAAAAGGTAAAGGTTTCCCCTGTCATTAAGTCTAGTCGTGTTCGACTCTGGGACGTGGTGCTCATCTCCATTTCTAAACTGAAGAGCTGGTGTTATCTGTAGACACCTCCAAGGTCATATAGCAAGCATGACTGCATGGAGCACCGCTACCTTCCCACAGAAACGGTACCTACTACTACTTAAATTTGCATGTTTTCAAACTGCTAGGTTGGCAGAAGCTGGGGCCAACAGTGGAAGCTCACCTCATTCCCTGGATTTGAACCACCAACTTTTCAATCAGCAAGTTCAGCAGCTCAGCGGTTTAACCCACTGCACCACCAGGGCCCCCCCATTAAGTTAATTGAGTGCAAACTACTTTTGTGCTTAAACTCTGTTTGCAGCAATGAAAGCAAGCTGAGGACAAAGGGAAATAGTGGGAGAGAGAAACTGGAACATTTTAAAAGAAACTGAAAGAGTGGGGTGATAGAGAATTAATTGGGATTGTGTTGTTGTAGGTTTTTCGGKCTGTATGGCCATGTTCTAGAAGCATTCTCTCCTGACGTTTCGCCTGCATCTGTGGCAAGCATCCCCAGAGTTTGTGAGGTCTGACCTCACAACCTCTGAGGATGCTTGCCACATATGCAGGTGAAACGTCAGGAGAGAATGCTTCTAGATAGAGGTGGCCCTAGGTAATTTCAAACAGTATTTTGGTGCCCCCTCCCAACCAATCACTGATATATATTTTCTGTTCGTCGTGGGAGTTCTGTGTGCCATATTTGGTTCAATTCCATCATTGATGGAGTTCAGAATGCTCTTTGATTGTAAGTGAACTATACATCCCAGTAACTACAACTCRCATATGTCAAGGCCTATTTCCCCCCAAGAGCACCTCAAGAATGCCCCTGGGCTAAATCAACTATACTGCAAATGYTTAYTTTGTGTAAYGGGTTGARCCGCCCCTGCTTCTAGAACATGGCCATATAGCCCGAAAAACCTACAACAACTCAGTGATTCCCAGCCATGAAAGCCTTTGACAATAATTGGGATAGTCCCTTCTGATTTGGTCAGCAAATTCAGCAGCTCAGCAGTTTAACCCGCTATGCCAGCAGGTGGACTCAGATAACCCAGATCAAAGTCAATATTGTTGATTATCTGCCTTGATATTCTGGGTTATATGGCTGTGTGGAAGGGCCCTCTAACAGCATCGGTATCTGAATGTCATGCACAATCTGAATCAGAACTGGTTATCCATCCATCATAACTGTAAAGTATACAGGCAGAATATTTTTGATTATCTTGTATGTTTCCGTCATCCACCGCAGAACGGTAGGTTCCCCATTTACAAATGTATCTCCAAGGTCATGAAAGATGGCATCAAACTGAAGTACTTTGGTTCATGCC